CTTAAAAATTCTACTACAGCATATAGCAATATGCAAGAAGTGCTGCTCTGGGCAAAACATGATATTTTCACTTTTTTTTGACAGTTTAGGTCAGCTGTAGAATAGGACAGTAAGTAAAGAATATACAACTTGCTTGGAGGAGCCCACTCCCAAAATTAAATTAGCAAGATCCAGAACTTCCTCCTGTGATGGAGCTGTGCATCCGAAGGAGGCATCTACAAGATCCCTCTGGGCCTATGTGGGGTCTTTAATATCGCCTGCACAGGAAGATGACTTGTAATAAAGCGCCCTTGCTGAGATGGCTTTCTTTGATCTAGTTTTTCCTGTTTCCAGCTCCTCAGCAAGCTCAGAGTGCTGCTGCTGTCCCTTCTGCCATTCAAGGTGGTCATTAGACTCACGTAAACCAGACAGCTCCTGCTCTAGCCATGCTGGAGGAGACAGGGATTCATTGCCCAAGTGCAAGTGGCTCTGCCAGTCTGGGTTTGCGAGGGACGGGAGCAGCCACCAGCCCCTGACACCACAGGGGAAGCTCCAACCCTTATTCTCCAGGGTTTCATTACAGTTTCCTGACCTGAGTTTTCTGATCCGGCCCCTTTTTTTCTTCCCTGCAAACTCAAATTGGGTGACATCTGGAAAACAAACAAACGAACAAACAAAAAAACCCTTTTGCACTCGGTATGACCTGATTTCTCCTCATTCTTAACCCTGAAGAGTCCTTCACAAACATTCACAAATAGTGTGTGGTATCAATACACGTTTTGCACATCATGTCAGCAAATGAGGTCCCAAAGTTGCCAACTGACATCATCTATTTATTTGAATGAGTGGCACAAGGTAAGAATTAATTGGCTTTTTGGGTAATTGGCTTTTTGGGTCTGTCATTTCATGGGCTTACAATAATGCCCTCTGATACCCAAGCCTTGTTTTGTTTAGCAAACACCAAACGGTAACGTCCTGCCCTGCTTTTGCTATTCAGACGTTCCGATTTCCCTGGGCTGCCCCTTGCACCACGTCCCAGCTGCTCCTCCAACAACTGCCCCGGCTCCTGCACAACCGCACGCGGCCGCGGGCCGAGAGCCCCGGGAGCGCCGGCCGCGAGCCGAGGTGCTCCGGATCGCCGCGCGGATCCCGTGGGACAACTGGCAGGGCTCCCCGCATACCCAGCTGTCCTCCCAGCAGCTGCCTGCAGCCCTGTGAGGATTGAAGGGAGCTGTCTGAGAGCAGTAAAACAAAACAAAACCCCCAGAGCCGGTGTGCTGTCAGCCTGCATAAAAGCACTGTCATTTCTTTATTTGTCGATTAATACACAGGGCAGTTTCTTGCTCTACCATGACTGAAAGTACTTTAAAATACTTTATTCTCCTCAGAGCTAGAACTGATATTTAGTGAGTTTCCCTTTTATTACTTCTGGAGTACGACTCACCCTACGGAAAACAGGTTTGGGCTAAGGCTACCATTTATCTTTTATCCTTATCTCAGAAAATTCTCTTTTATGCTTCTCTTAGTATTGTTTTGCAAGCAGGGTAACCCATACTGCAGAACACAAGGGGGTTTTGTGTTAATTTTTCATTTCCTTTCTTCAGAGAAAACTTTTCACAAATAAGAAACAGGCAGATGTAATCCTGTTCCTCTACCGCATTTCCACTAAATTAAGTGACTTCAACTCGTATGTTGTAGAATACGATCTCCAATTTTTAAATAACCTGCTGTGACATCTGAGCTCCAATGGTGTTTCCACGGGTCAACAGTTTGGTAACAGTCCATTTCTAAACTGGCTGGGGAGAGCCAGGCTGAGCCCACAAGTAAAACTCCTAACAGTTTGGGGGTCAATAAAAAGTCCCTTTCCAACACGTGGCATCTTGACTAGCTGCCCCTCTGATGAAGCAAAGAAAATTAATCTGTAACTGACCCAGATAATGGAATTTCTATCCCAAGTTCTCTGTTTATGGAGCTGGACAGCACATTGAAGTAATCATGTTTATTCATTCTGAGTGAGTAAATCTTACTTTAGCATGAAATAATGCGTCTCTACCTGGACCTTCTGCTGCTCCAGCTCCCATTATATGTGGTTTGACCTAATGGCTCTCTGCGAGACTGCGGAAGTAGAAATTCCCCTGTTTCTGTTTTCGGTGGTTCTGCTTTTGCGTGGTCCAAAGCCTTAGATGATATCTAAAGCTGTATTTTCTCCCAGTCATTTCCCTCCTTTGGTTAATAAGTCAGATTGTCTTTAATTTGTATGTGTCGATTCCTATCTGAGATAACGTAGAAATGCTGGCAAAGAAAGATTGCCATTACCATCACAAGGAGAAACAGCAGGCCCGCTTTTCAGGTTAGCCCTTGTCCACTAGCCTCAGTGAATGTTGGAAAGGTTTGGAATCGCTTAGGAGCGTTTCCTCTCTATATGCTCTGCTGAACTACACGCGTTTTAAAGGCGGTCCTGGGGGTTTCTCATGCTGTTCTTCCCTCCCAGCACCTGCTCACGCTCCCGCGGGCGTGCTGGGCGTCCGTGCCCAACGTGGGACGGGAGCTCTACGACGTCCCCGCAGCGCCGCGCCGCGACGCCCTGTTCACACGGGTGAGTCCTGTCATGGCACGCCCCTCCCAGGACACCCTGGAACCCACTTCAGAGGGAATTCTACCATTTTCCTGTTTGTTTTTAAGTCTTCTCTAAAATTAGACAGAAACTCACTTTTTTTTAGGGAAGTTCAAAACCTAAAGCAGTTCTCTTTTGAATTTGTTAGAGAAACATGTCTTAAATCTGGTTATGTTTCCAATGAACACTTTTGGTTTTACCTTGACTCAGTTATGAGGCACCTTTTTATGGATGAATTCCCCATGTCACACAGAGCCACCAACCTCTTGGTTTATCCGTGAGGAAAAGCACTTTTTTTTTCCCTGTTGACTGGGAAGGTTAAAGTGTTTTCTATAAGCTGTCCCAAAATGTTTACAGAAGAAGCATTAGTGCATGTGCAAATGGAAACTAAAATGTCACCCTCTGGGCAACAAAATGCAGGGGATTAGATCATGTAACCCTGATACATTAGGCGTAAGAGCCTTTTGGATCCAGCCCTTGAAGCAACCTGTCATATGATCCTGTTCTTGGCACCGCGATTCCCGGGGGGGACTGAATGTCAGGCCAGTCATCAACAACCATCTTGTCCTGCCCGCTCCGTACCAACGGGGTGGTCCCGTTCGGAGCGAGAGGCCGAGGCGCTGGGGACGGCCTCCTTGCACCACCTAGCGCCCGTCGCCACCACGCTGTGGTAATGGGGAGCTCTGGGCCGCGTGGCCCGGAGCCTTTGGTGCCACAACGTCCCCAGTGGGCTTGGGGACAACTAACACCAAGCTGGGCGTTCTCCCGTCCCCAACACGCTGTGGTAACGGGGAGCTCTGGGCTGCGTGGCCCGAAGGCGTTTGGTACCACAATGTCCCTGCGGGCTCGGGGACAACTAACACCAAGCTGGGCGTTCTCCCGTCCCCAACACGCTGTGGTAACGGGGAGCTCTGGGCTGCGTGGCCCGAAGGCGTTTGGTACCACAATGTCCCTGCGGGCTCGGGGACAACTAACACCAAGCTGGGCGTTCTCCCGTCCCCAACACGCTGTGGTAACGGGGAGCTCTGGGCTGCGTGGCCCGAAGGCGTTTGGTACCACAATGTCCCCGCAGGCTCAGGGACAACTGACACCAAGCTGTGCGTTCTCCTTTGACCAGAGCGGCGCCACTCCACCCACACGAAGGAAGGGCTCCGCGCCCTTCGGATCCACAGAGGCTTTCCGGGAAGAGACGAAGCAGGTTTACGACATCCCGGCCAGCCCAGAAAAGGCAGGGACCCAGAAGGACGCCCCGGGGAGCAACGTGAGTAAGAACCACTGGATAGGAGAGAGCAACGTGTCCTTAGCACAGGGACACTGCTTGGATGTGCTGAGCTCCCCTGAGGCGGGTTTGCAGGTGACAGTGTCAGGGCTGGGAGCAGCACTTGGTCCCTCATGTGAAAGGAACAAATCCCACCTGGCTTCTGGTAGTCAGGACACCCAGCAGGGCTGGCACTTGCTGTCTTTTTAGGGTACTGGGAAAAGTGTGAATGTGGAAAATTCAACATCCTACATTCTTGAGTGTCTGACTGTTTAGGCAGAGACAGGCACAAACTGTTCACATTTTAATGGTGAGATATAACTCAAGTATATGATGATCTGCCACTGAGTCACTGCAAAACTTTGGACGAGAAACTCAGTTCCAGTTTACCTGCCTAAAATAGCAATATTATTATAACTATAAAGCAAAAAAAAAATGTGTACTCAATATATAGCTTGGCTGAAAACAGTTCTCCTTAATCCTTTTCACGATTTGAAATGTGTTACTTTTCCATACCAGGGTATAACAAAGCAAAGACGGATGATTCACACTTAAACCCTTGCCTTGCCTGCTTCCCTTTGCTGTCCTCCACACTTTCCCAAATCCTGAGGCTTTCCGGAGATGAACGCCACCCTTCCCCGTCGATATCTGTGGAAGAGCCCTTGGGTTTGTGGAGCACAGCCAGGGCAGCAAGGACACACAGCCCCAGAAGGGCCACAAGCCAGCGGGGAGGAGAGGGCTCCGGCTCTCCGTGTCCTGCTGCCTCCTTTGGGAACAGCAGCATCCCCAGCTCTGCTC